TCAACTTAATGTGCAGTACATGAACTGTGAATCGTCAATCTGTCGTAATTTGTTGTTGGACATGTGAAGGAATCGAGCTAGAGATGCCGATACTTACTGAAAATCAACGGAATGAAGCCAAGGGAATGTCCAGGGCTGGCATATCTACATGTGCTATTGCCAGACACTTCAATTGTCATCAGTCCACTATTGTAAGGTTGGTGGAACTTGTTCGAGTTACTGGATCAACACGTGACCGTCAACGTCCTGGTCCACAATGCATTACAACCCAGGCTCAAGACCGCTACATTCGGGTCACTCATCTGCGTGACAGATTCCGCCCAGCGACTCGAACAGGTGCAGCAGTCGTCGGAAGACAAGGACCAGTAAGTGCCAACACCGTAAGACGTCGTCTAAGAGAAGTAGGACTCCGTGCACGACGACCTTATGTTGGAGCTATCCTCAGGGATCATTACAGTCAGCGGCGTTTGATATGGGCTCAAGGACACCAGACATGGAGAAGAGTAGACTGGCAAAGTGTGCTCTTGAGTGATGAGAGTCGCTTTCATCTTTATCACGCTGATGGCCGTCTACGTGTGTGGAGACGTCTTGGGGAACGTTTTGCAGACTGCTGCGTCTTCGAAACGAATCGATGGGGTGGGGGAAGTGTAATGGTGTGGGGAGGCTTCACATTTCATCACCGGACCGCCCTACACATTTGCAGGGGTCGCGTTAATGCTGTAGCCTACCGTGATGATGTCTTGCAACCATTTGTTGTTCCGATGTTTCGAGCGCACCCACAACTTCAGCACTTCCAACAGGATAATGCACGTCCGCATACCGCCCGTTTTAGTATGGACTACCTGGCTGCTAACAACATCAATGTCTTGGACTGGCCAGCCATGTTTCCGGACATGGCACTGATAGAACATGTCTGGGATGAGATTGGATGCCGTCTGTATCGGAGACTACAGATGCACACCATTGCTGCTTTAGAAGCTGCTCTTGTCCAAGAATGGAACAATTTGCCCCAGGCCTTCTTTCAAACATTGGTAAATTCCATGCAACGTCGCTGCACAGCATGCGTAAGAGCCCGTGGAGGACACACGCACTATTGGCATCTGTGTCGTACTTTTGGTGTTGACCCCTCTGACTTTGTACCGTTGATTACAGATTAAACATCCATAAGTGTACAAAGGTGTTGTTATTGATGTGTTCTCATTTGAATATTGTTCACAATAAGAAGCAAAATAAATAAGATATGTTTACAGGGTCATTTTGTTATACGAAAAACTAAGTGATGCGTTTTCCATGGCGCTCAGTATATTTCAGAAAATACACATAGGTATATTTTATACACCAATATTTCAGTGTAAGTGTGGTCATATATTGTCGTTACCCCGTCCATCTATCTGTCCGTCATCAATGGTTACTTTTGCACGTTCTACCGACTAAGCTTAAAGATGGGTTCCCAGAATAGTATTTATCGGGTGGTTATTTCCAATAAAAGTTTAGCAATTTTGGTATATATGGAAAGTAGAGATATCCAATCTTACTAGAAAAATACTGGATTCCCCGAAAAACACTCATGGGGCGTATACAGGACAAAAATGTAAGGGTTCCCCTAATCGACAGCCTGATGATTAGGAATTTCTGCATGCATGATGTCAAGGGTCACATGCAAACATTGAGCGCTTGATGTACAAGTTGATAAACCTTATGAAGAGTTAGACGTACAACACTTTCTGAGATAAAAATGACGGAAAAAGATGCGGGTAGTGGACTTTGCGAGAGAGGTAAGTCATGTGACATAAACATGACCTGGTTTGATTGAATTTTTATAGCAGGGCATTCCTTGGCAATTACAATGTTTGAGAAGGATTTGAAGCAAAATTATGACAAATTAATTAGTTTGAAAATGTTTTTAGTCCTTATATACCATTAAATCACCCAATTTGTACGCGGGAATGTATCTTTAATTTCCAATTGACTTATTACACATGAGAAAAGAAGGCTATAAATTTTCAACAATTTCCGATAATTACTGCTTGAAGTATTGCCCTTGATCACTTTGAAAAGAGACCATAGTTATCATCCAATTGACTCACACTATTTAAGATTATGAAATAAAGAAACCTTTTGAGTATGGCCAAAGTTGTGGCCCTTGATCACTTTGAAAAATCTAGTGAGCACTCTAGATGCAAAATTTATCATCTGATTGTATTTAATTTTAAATAAATGTTTATATTCATGAAACAAAAAAGCGTTTTGATATTTCAACAGTTGAACAGTTAAATTCATCACCAAGTTTTGTATAACAGATTAGCATTGGAGAAGCCAGACAAATTATAATGATTTCTGAAAATTACTTAATGGGTTGTTACTCTTCAGCAGTTTTTAGTGTTTTGTAAATCCTTTCATTACCGACCAAGTGAACGTGACAAATACATATACTGGTAACAGGTTTTACAATTATTGTTTAAATTGCATACCAATATCTAGGTCATATGTTATTTTATTATTTTTTAATTCTGTTAATTTCAAATCTGTATTTTAATGTTCATTAATGCTTGGTTAGTCATTAGAGGCAGGCATGAATTAATCTGTCAGTCAACTGAAACCATGTCAGGCTGGCAAGTAAAGTGGTTGATCTGTTTCTTTAACTATTGTTTTATATGCCTTAAGACTTAATCCTTCAATAATTATATGTTTATGTCAACACTTTCATAGTAACTTAATATATGACTTAATCCTTCAATAATTTTATGTTTATGTCAACACTTTCGTAGTAACTAATTTATATAAAAAGACAAATGTATGTAAGATGAATCGGTGGAAGCGGACGTTTAGTAAAGTTATTTCACACACACAAGATGAATCAATAGTTGGAGAGACCAGAGGAACCTATAGACTGGTTGGGGGTTCGATATATAGGAAATAATAAGTTGTTAAACTGTTGATCCTGAAATAAAGTGTTACAATGGTCAATTTAAAGTTGTTCTATCAATGTTTATTATGATATATTTAAGATATTAGTATTATTTTGATAAAAAAAAACAATTTTATACATATCCTATTTTAATTAAACATATGACATGTATTAATTTAAATCCACAGATTTATAATTGTTTATAAAAATAACAGATTATCATTTCTCTGTCCTGGTAAGAGGATTAAATAATGACTTCCTTCTGTATAACATATAAAGTATACAACCAGCAAAACAACAGACATAAAGTTGTTCATTTCAATTTAAGCAGGTTGTATTAAACTTCTATGAATTGTAAACCTGTTTGCGATAAACCTGATGGACAAAGACATGTAATTATTTCCTCCAATTTTATGATTATTGAATGTAGTTATATTTAGCAAATCTTTCTTTCTTCCTCCGCAGCCATCTCTATCGCTTTTCCTTGGCAATTTTTGTTGACTTTAAAATTTTCAGCTTAAAATTGATGAAGATTGTTTGATTTATTAAATTATATTTTCAGCAATCTTTGGTAATGATTCATAATTTTTAGGCGGATGAATCAAGAGGTAAACTGAAAATTCGAAAATAACCAAGATGGTCAACCTTCCTTACATATTTTTATCAGATGATTTTGACATGCTGGGCACTTTGTGGCTGTAAAGATTATGTGTGCATGCCAAATCTATGACACAAATTTTCTAACATGCCAACCTAAATATCTGGACAATATATTATACTATTTGGTGTCTTTAAAGTATTGGAAGCACCTTTTCAATTATCAAAAATCACACTTCTTCCTAGCCCCCCTTATTAATTTAGTTATTTTTCTTAATGTGAAACTGATGTTTTGTGTGCTGTAAGGACCTACCGGTAATTAAGTGTGCCACATTTTGGGGTTGCCCAGACCTTAGCATAAAGTAATACCTAGTATAGATGTTTGTTTGTAATTGGACTAGTAAACATTTGAATCCAGTAGCTGGGCATCATATGTAGTTTACAGTTTGATCTTGTTCTGATGACTTGGTGTCAAATAGATACTTGTGAATGTAGAATTTCCCAAAGGCTGTGGGAGTAGCAATGTTTAACCCATTTTCATGATAATGGGATTTGAGATATTAATAGCCCACTACCTGTAACTGGTCTGTCTGCCACAGTGCTTATATAAAGTACAGAAATAAAACAACATTCACCAAATTGTATTTACCAAGTAGAACTCTCAGATAATCTTTTGACCATCATAAGAAATGTTTTCAACCCATTAATTTTTTACAGCTTTTAGTAGGGGTTAAAGTTATCATCCAATTTGTTGACAGTGTTAATGTTCATGCGACGAAAAAATCCTATTGATTTTCAATGATTCCCGATAATTACTGTCAAGAGTTATTGCCCATCATCAATTTGAAAAGTCTTGTGGACTAAAGGCTAAAGTTATCATCCAATTGACTTGAAATTTATACACATTGTTAATGTTCATGAGATGGAGAAACTGATATTAATTAAATTTCAGAGTTATTGCTTTTGATCACTTTTTAAAATCTAGTGGACCCTGTAGTGACTAAAGATATTATCCGATTGGTTTGAAATTCGTCCACGGTCTTTCTGTTCATGAGATGCCTATTTATTTTCAGCGGTTTTATAACTTGAACAATTTATCTGATTACCATTGCTTGTTTTCTTTAATAAATATTAGCACTCTAAAGAACTTAAAGCCAATCAAATTTAAATTATTTCAGATAGTTAATGTGGTGTTAACATTGACCAGTTTCAGTGAGTTTTTTTTATATGCCCCATCACCTACAAAAGACTGCTGTGAGCACATTTCTTTGCCTAGCAGCCTATCTTTCTAATCATGAAAACTATTCATGTTTTTGCCTTTGACAGCCATTTTAAGTCCATTGATGTATAATAGTATACAATGCCTCAAGTCTGGTGTTAATTAATATTTCTATTTATCAATCTACTTTTGACTCAACTGCAAAGAGTTGATTAAGAAGTCTTTACCACACAGTCATTGATCATATAAACTAGATTTCTATTCTTGATTTTTCAGATTAAAAAAAGTTTGGTAACTAATTGAAGATGAGTCATAAGATAGCCAGCACTCTATTTGAAAGAAACAACTTTGCTTACACACAAATACCATTGAGAAATGGTACCACAGCTGATCAAAATGGTAAGTATCCTTGTGGCAACCCCTTAGAACAGCTTGGGCGTATGTTTCAAGGCAGGGCATATTATCTTTTATTCCCTTTTTCTAATGATTTTGTTATCAAAATGTCAGTGATGTATCCCACGCCGAAATAAGTTGTCGGGAGTGGGATATTGAAATGGACACGGCCCATCCAGAAGGACGACCCGTTTTGTTTCTTCTGGTGTCTATCTAGAAATCTCTCTGATTTAATCTTTTTTGTGTTTCCATGAAAACAATTAATATCAACATTTCATTTTAATAATCTCAAAACAACAGGTGCATAATTTTAATTTGTGATTAAGGGTTTGACTGAAAGGTGTAACCAATATCGGTACCTCAAAACACACACATGTCAATTGAAATAAAATCCCTATCAAATAAAGCTCAAACTATAACCTAAAACATCTGAAATTAAATGGGGTTTAGCATCCTACTTTTCAGCACTGACTGTACAAATGAAGACGGACTATAAAATGTAACTTGGAACAAAACCATATTACAGGCAATAATATGTAAATGTGTAACCCAGTTATGGCACACTATGTAAGCAGTTTATTGTTGTTTTAACATTTATTTTATTGTTACTTTAGTTTTAAGTAAATTTTATTGATATTTTTTAATGCTCTTTTATAATTCATTTTTTGATGACAATTTGTATTCCCTTATGTTAGGTCAAATTCATTAAGACTCAAATAAACAAATCTGTGTTATCCACTCTGATATGAATTAATTTTATTCAGTCAATCTGAATTTCTAGATTAATAGGAAGTCAATAACAAGTAGGATGTATTTGATACATAGAATAACCGAGACTTCCAGTTGAACCAATATATTTTACATTGATATAATTTTTATCTGTTAATTTTGTTCAAAATACACAATTCTATCTTTTTTTGAAAGTGTTATTTAAGGAGCGTTATGGAAAATAAGATAAAGAGTTGACAGTTCTCGCTATAATATTTAAAAAATACATAACGTAAAGAGAATATGCTGAAAATTTCAATCAAATTGCTTTACTCTGAACTGAGATATTAGCGATTGAATTTTAGGCCTAGACTCAATCAGCATTACTAAAGTCTCGATTATCCATTTTGACCTTAAATCATCCATCACAAAATGTATTCAAATCCAACCAATAAATATCGCAGGCTAGCGATGCCATCTATAATTGAATATGGTCTGGATAAGTTAATGAATGTCTAATTAACTATTTAGATAACATTTCATGCCTAAAGAAAGACCTGTAATAGGCAGATTTAGCTCTTGCATAAGGTATGTTTAAAATAATGCTGGTAATAGGGGTTTTCCTGGCAATTTTTATACTGGATTATGTATTACTTGCATTGGTATTTTGGGTTATAGATTTTAGCGTCTCCAGTAGTGCATGGAAAACATAATGAACAGGGGAACATACAGAATTTCGGAAATTCATTTATGGTGAAAGGAGTTCTATTCCTGTATGGAAAATATCAATAATTATTGATAACAGTATTTTGTTTAAAGAATTTTTTCGATAAACTGAATAGGATTTAACTACAGACAAGGGCCTATATAAGTTCAACCTATTTTTCAGATAGGATTTGAGACTAAAGTTCTAACAAATATTTAACCTGAAACATAGCATCTACAGATATTTAGTTTTCTTACTAAAATAGATATGGCAAAAACTAAATAATACTGTAATGGTAGTGACAATATTGTAATAAAGAGAAAAAAAATCAAATGGAGTTTAATGTCTTATGAAGATGAGCATACGTCATACATTATAGTTGTGGGGGGAGGGGGGCATTGTACGTATACAGCTACTATGCAAGTGTCATCATCAGTGTGCAAGGGAGCCGCGGTGACTCAGTAAAGGGCTGGCTCACTTACCGCGCAGCCCAGGGTTTGATCCTAGTCCTGCGTGGTTTCCACTTGTCCAAGGCTCACTAATCAGGAGGTCCAGGGTTTGATCCTCGTATTGACCTAGACAGTTCCCCAAACTTTCCAGCATTGTTTCCCCTTGTCAAAGGTGCAGGAAGTGGGGAAGGGGAACTGGGCTGTGATGGGCAGCGTCTAGTTATTCAGATGGAATATGAAACTGAGTTCATGTAAAAGAACTTTAAATTCAAAATAAAGAGTAGACCGTAACGTTGCTTTTTGGACCAAATTCCCCCTATAGCATAATGTATGGCGGGTGTATGTACGTATCTTCATTATCCCGGTTGATACTGAACAGTTAGGCATTTGATTTATTTTTCTCTAAATACAATTACCACTCCCTTACAGTATAGGGATGCTTTGTTTCAATGTACATTCATTACAAACTGGTGTGTTGACAAACGTTAGTTTTTGTCGTTAATATTGAATTTAATCCCGTTACGGTCCCTTACCATCGATAAGGTCACGTGGAACCGAGTTTTTACTAGCGACGCTTGGTTGGAATTCCTTCAGCGAGGACGCCCAATCAAATATTTGTTAGGAATTTAGCCCCAAATCTAATCTGAACTAAAAGTTTACAGACATATTAGTAGAACGTTTATGCCCCCCCCCCTCCTCCCAGATTCGTTGAACTGTACTATTTTTCGGGCAATGTATATCAGTTTTTCGGGCACAACAAGCATCAGAGAATGAAGAATGCGACCATATCTCATGGAAATATAATTGTGTAATTAATTAAAAATAAACCACCATCACAACTTTGTGGAAAATTCATTTTAGTTAACGATTGATTCGTTCAGAAAATTTGGTTGACAAAGATATTTTTCGGGCAAATAGGCTCAGACCCCCCACCCCCACCCACTCCCAACTGATATCAGCCCCCTACACACATGTAGCCCCTTACCTGTTGTTCAATCAGATTTAGCTTATTGAATCAAATAATGAATAAACTATTGTTTTCCGAACGACTGGGCATTGTTTCGCCAGCCCACTCCCATCCTGTACCACTGACAGGAGTTGTCTTGTACATGTACATATCTAATCTGTGTAAGTGTAGTAAATGTGAAAATTAAACAAAAAGACTGTTAAAGAAACCGAATTTGATGTTTATACATGTAGTGACAGTGATGAAGATAACGACTAACTTTTTGATGACATTTAAAGTGAAGAGTAACTGCATAATTTTGATTTTCAATAATTGTTTTACTTTAATAAATAATTAGTTTTTGTCTTGTATCTATATTTGTTAGCAATTTACACAATTATACATAGATACATTTTTAGTTTAAATGTTTGTTATTCGGCCTTAATATCTGAACTAGAGGTTTACAGCTACCTGTAGTAAAAATAATGTAGGGTCTAATTGAAAGGGTGTAGGTTTATGTTTTAGTGGAAAAAATCATGTGGTTTCAATGCGATTTACAAAACTACAGACAGAGTCTGGTCTCCATTACTTCATAGACATATTGCTCAACCTATGTCAAAAATATCTCCTTGCTCATCAGACTAGGCGCTCCACCCATAATTTCTGGGTAAACGCCCGCTCACCAACCCTTGCAGTCCCCTGGGACCCCATTAACGATATAAATATTGGGCTTGTGTGCTAAAACATGGTCTTGTGCGTCATACTGCATCAGTAGTCAACACTCACCTGGAATACTGTTATCAATTGCAGACATTTGACAGGAAGGGAGATAACTCTTTATTACCGTTATTGGATTTCCAGAATTCTGTATGTTCCCTTGTTTAGTATGTTTTCTGCATTTTGGTTTAAATCAAAATTTAACCAATAGCATATTCTTTGCCACGGATGAAGGCATTGGGTGTTTTCGCCAATATTTAATTTTATGTCAACTTCACAATTGTTAGTATAATATAGCATTTACTTGAAAATTATCGCAATTTTCATCTGGCCCTAAATCGAGTTAGTGCAAACATTTTGCTTGGAACTCTCTGGATTTGTGTTCCTGGTGTTATAAGCTTTCCAAAAATATATAGTTTGTTTATTATTGCGGAAATAATTGAAAACCAGTGTAAACCTTCTGTAATACTCACAGTATCGAAACACATAGTTAAACACTGGCCACTCGATAGTAAACATCCTCCTTTAACAACAGAGTCAGTTTTCCAAACATCCTCGATCATAAAGACAAGAGTTGTCAACAATTCAAGAGGAAGGATTTGGTCCCATGCCTAGTGTATGTTATATATGCTAAAGACTGAAATAAGGATATGTCACATACCCTCCCATCTCTCTCTGTCTCCCTGTCTCTGTATATTCTATATATACCGCCCATATTAGATGTATGTATTTGAATTGAAGTAAAATATTGATCATTCAAGCTGACAGTTTGAGATATATTGACTTTATTAAAAACACCAGGTGTTTCAGTATTCAAATTTTCTTTGTGGCCATTTATTAGGCCACTTATAGAAAGTAGCTTGTAATTGAACGGGTTTTAATTTGGATTGCTCTCACAGGTAAATTATACTGCTTTTCAATAGTTCATTCACCTATCATCAGATCATTGGATGGGTAACATTCTATTCTTCTTCTGGACAATCTCAGGATAGGTTTAATGTTGATGAAACTCTTCAGGTTTGTAAATACAAGGTATTTATTGTCACAGATTTCTGTTTGGTCACAATATTTTACAGTTATTTTTCTTATTACATAAGTTAAAAGTGTTTTTTTTTATGAAGGTTTTTTCTTTAGTGACTTGATTATCAATAGAAATGTTCAGATTGTATTAAAAGGGTTGAATGTTGATGTATGCATGTTCATTAAGTAAAAGGCTGTTGCCCTGGAGTAAACTATTTTATATATTCAACACAGACTTGTCAAGTTCATTACTTGGGGATTCATTTTATCAACACATTACTTCAAGTTATATTTCCTTTGTTACCACCCAACTTCATCACTGAGATCCTGGCCTGTATTCACTGTTCTTCGCTCTAACTGCTGTACTTTCAGGAAGACAGAGTTTGTTTGGTCGTAGTCTTGGGCTTTAAAATACAGTTAATGATGATTTTTAACAAGCTGGTCCATCAGTTTATATTCG